CCAACCTACCCCACAAAGGAGGGACAACTGGATTAGGCTACGCAGGGACTATTTCCCTTGCTGCGTGTGGAGAACTGATGGCGTTAACAGTTGTAAAATAATAGGTATAAAAATTACTTGTAACATTTCTTAGCTCTTTATAGTTCTTTGGGTTCAGCCTTTCATATCTGCAGGTATCACAACCTCTGCCAATGAAAACGAGGTACAAGATTCCTCTCCTTTTGGGTGGATCATGGACCACAGCACTTGTGTCACAACAGCTCTCAAGCCTTTTGGTCGTGGTTGGCATAGCTGTTCCCTGTGATAACAGTGCTGCAGCCATCATCTTACAGTCCATGTGCCTTCTATCCTAAAACAACACATCAAATGAGAAATGAGTTTTTCTTCTTGATTTTTTTTTTAAATCAAGACATATTTATACTGCTCAAAATTGATGGTGTAAATGTTTCTCCCCAATTCCTTAAAAAAGTGTGAACATGTCTGAGTCAGTCAGACCAGCATATGGTGGAGTGAGTACGTGGCTCAGCCTAACATAATAAAAACTAGACAGATAACAAAAGAATTTCGAAGAGAGTAATGGGCTTGAGCTGGCTTCAATCTACATATTCCTTCCTGGTGACTGGGGATGCTCATCATTGCAGTGGTGAGCATATTATAGAGTCTGGTAAAGGGAATCACATTGGTATTGTGATTGAACTGTATATTGCAATTGCTATATTTTGCTAAATGTAATTTACATTTGTATTGTGATTTCAGTATATTTTGTATCACTCTACTGAATGAGAAATCCTGTGTAACAACAACTATGTCAAAAAGTAAATCTGATATTACACATTACATTCTTCATGCATGGAATATCTAAAAGAACCTGGTCAGAGAGTATTGGACTCTGATGCACACTGTGATAATGAAAAATGACTCTTGCTGCCCTGTGACATTTGTGGATGAATATGATCTAGGAATAAATTAGAGTAAATAAAACCATCTTCTTTTCAAAACACATTTTGCCCAATAGTCTAAAACTTGCTGACTTGACAACATGATGGTGCCGCAGAGACAGAAGCGCTACTATTAATCCTGAGGATTAACAGCCAGATCACTCCTCAATGCCATTTCCACAATAAAAAGTTTGGCTATGACTGTCCTGTCTATAGAGTATGTCCACATTCAAATGCAAAATGCTTACATTGAAATTTCAGCTACAAAAAGGGAATTCTTTTTGTGGACTACACGAGCAGTTTTCCAGTTTCTGCTAACAGATTATAAATACCTGGAGCACAAGTTTCCTTAATTGTGTCTGCAATGAATGCAACACGAAGTTGAAGACCAAACGGGAGAAGGAGCATGCAAGTTAAAAGCCACTGTTAGTGTTTTAAATTACAAAGTTTAAGACAACATTTATTAAAATTACAAGTCATGTTGTGTGTTCTGAAGAAAATAAGATTTTCCTAAGCTTAGAAAAAGTAGTAACTTCCCTACCTAAAATACACTGATGAATTTAGCCTTCCTGAAGCTATTCAGTGTTCCTCAAGCTATCACTATATACCATTTCTTATAAAAAGTGCAAGAGTACTAGCTATCTTATTAGCAAAACTGGAAGACGAGGTTAGAATTCTGTTCCAGCCTTGAGAAAAAAAAAGCAAATGAAGTATCAAAATACATAAAATGGCAAAGCCTGGGAAAGCAAAAATAGGGAGAGGAAGAGAAGAAAACAACATGGAAACACCAGGTAGACTACACTAGTATACCACACATCCTTATCAAGTGACAGAAAATGACGTTGCCACTGTAGTGAATGTTTCCAAGATGAAAAGAGGCTGGGTGCACAGGTAGCTGCAGAAGGATGAACTGTTTGTGACTATATAATGCATTCATAAAAAGAAAAATTAAGTTTACATTGCCACAAGATCTTTCACATTTCCAGCTTTCAAAAACCAGCAATTGCACCAGTGATAAAAGATACACCAAAATGGATTTCCGTAGCTGACTTGAAAGTGAAGCTGGTAACACGATTTTCATTCAGTGAGGGCATAGATCACACCATTCAGATCAGGGCAGGGGGGGAAGCAGCAGCACTTTAGGAGCAGAAGCAGGTACTCGGGAAATTAAGTAAAATGACAAATATTCTGATGGTGGGTTTTCACCAGACTAGTCAGACTGAATGCAGGCCTATAATGCTCCTAGTCAATTTATTTAACTCATTCAGTATGTGGAAAAAACCTTAGCCATACAGAGTTCACCCTGGCAGCCTGGCAGCTCCCTTCAACAGCAGATCTGCACAGGTAAGGAATTGCACCCACACTACTGGCTAAAGAGTTCAAAGAGACATTATAATGTTAACTATGTACAAGGCGAAGGATATAAAATAGAGGAAAAAAAGAGAATGAGGAGTAAATCAGACCTGAGAAAGTGAAACTGGCAGAAACTTGAGCCCAAGAAGAATGTAATGATCCTGTGATAATATCTCAACGCAAACCCACCATTTTAAGAGTACAGTTTTTACTGTTTAAACAACATCCATCTGTGTAACTCCTATGAAATGTTAAAAATCAGTCAACATAATTTGTTCTCACACAGCTTTTCAGTTCATTATATTACTCTGCTATCCTGGTTTCTTTCTAATCAATAAAACAAATAAATGTGGAATGAAGAAATAAACAGCAAGAAACCACTTCCACAAAAAGCTTGGAAAGGAGTTTTAAATACTATGCTTAGCATCTTCATTCTTGAATGTTTCTTGGCTTGCATATAGTACTTGAGACATGAAATCAATTAGATGCCAGGATAGAGGGCCTCATAGGAAGTACTCTGGCTTCTGTTGAAATTGCTGGGAAAAAACTCCAAAATATTTGCCCAGAAATAGGAAGTGTGGCCTGGCAATAACTATTTTACATTGTTGACATGCAAGTCACTGTGCACTATTCATTAAAGGCCTTTTGTTATACTCTCCTACAAAAAAAAAAACCCACCCCAAAAACTTTTAAGTCCCTCAAAACCTAACCTAATACTCTTAAATGCTATTGACATAGTACGTATTTTGTGTGAAGACATTACATTTACACAAAACAATTACTGCAGTCAACAAAATGGAAAACTCTTCTTCCACAACATTCAACCAAAAAAAAAAAAAAAATCGATGTTGCAGCACGTTTTATTATAGCATTACTTTTACAAAGGAGCCTGAGACTCTCGGAATTCAGCTTTGACAAAACCATGTGGTGTAGAGGGTTCCATCATCAACTATGTCAACACTATACATATGAAAACATGGTTTGTTATAGTAGTGCAGAAGTTGACTGAAAATAAGGTGCTCACTAAAGTCCTGCACCGAAGCAGCTGCACATGGAAAAGCTCGAAGATATTAAATCCCTTTCCTGTGATTATCTATTGAGACAGTGGCAGAGAGAGAAAGCACCAAAACAAACCCTTCTGACCAACCTCTATGATTATGCCCTTTAAGATTTCTGCACTGCAAACTGAAGTCTAAATACTAAACAAAGGACAGACTGCGTTACTTAACCCAAACAGTTACTTGGTTTACCAAACCACAAGAGAATTCTCCATTAAAGTTTCCGTATACCTGAGGGCAGTTCTGGCCTCCCAGAACGTTACACTGGCATGAAATGCAGGAAACAAAGCAAGCTGATGAGGACTTGTAAGAATTAGTACAGGAAAAATTGGTACCTGTCTACAAAGTTATTATTTCCTTCCTTTCTTCCATCCAAAGTACCCGGAGTTGTCTCAGCGTTACACTTCTCAACAGCAGTACAGTACGTTGTTCTCAAATGACGTTTTTATCGCAGGATGCGAGATTTGTCATAGGCCTTCTTTGTAGGAAACAAAGTCTATCTATAATCCAGTCTGGGAGAACACTGCTTAAATAGCAAATGAGGCCAGCACTCAAAGAACCCTATGTGACCTTAAGAAGAGCCAAACTCCATACCAAAAGCAAATACTGAGTAAGTTGGTTCTTAGTGGCCATTGTCTGAAGCTTTTTAACTACACTGAATACCATGTCTGTGGACTGCTAACCGTTTATTATGTTGTTCTTGAACTGCTGACATGATCTCAGACTTATAATGTGGCAATGGCTGGAGACTTTTGTTGGACTGGCCTCACTACAGTAAACACTGCACTAAAAGTGAAAAAGTGGATAAACTTAAAATTGCTGTTTGTCAGAGAATGGATAATCAAATATTCCTGTAGGCTATCATTAGTCCACTAACTCAGATGGCCTGCATAGCTCACAGTTCATCTATACTGTGAGTCACACTATGTCTGTGCCTGCATCAGCATTTCTGGGATGTCACTGTGGAAATAAAGAGCCTTGGCTCCTAACTCAGGGATAGGATCACAGGACAATTTGGGCTGGAAGGTACCTCAGGATATTTCTAGTCCAACCTCCTGCTCAAGCAGGGTCACTATGAGATCACTCACTGCTCAGGTTTTTACCCAAAAGGAACAAGAAAACCTCCAAGGATGGAGAAAGCACAACTTCTCTGGACAGCATGTTCCAATGCTTACTTGTCCTCTTCATCAGTAAGTAATGAATACACTAGAGTAAATCAGAAGCCACCTCATTACAAGTGATTTCACTTCCTATCAGGTACACTAGGTGAATGATACCCAGCAGGGCAGGCCAGTAAAAAGTTATCAAAAATGAGATTATTTATATACTTTTCAGCCAGTGAGAAGTATGTGCCAAACAGCTGTTTTTTTCAAATCTCAAGTAAAAATACATGAAAGGATGTCTTTGAAACAAACTGTGAAGCTGACCTAAAATTCCAACCCACATGTGAAGGGCTGATCTGCTGCAGTAGAAGTTCACAGTACATTTTCCCAGGAACAATTAACTGATGTTGGAAGAGAGGAATTAAATTTGTCAGAAGAAAAAAAAATCTGCAACAATCCAGTGTACTGTAAAAAAAAAAGCCAACTAGGAAAAAAGTCCATGATCCACAAGCAAAACAAAACACAGGGACAAGCCAGTTTAATCTTACCTCAGCCTCACAAAGTGCCTTAAGACCCTGTAACGCTAGGGCAGCAGGCGAAGCTTGATCAGGTTTTGTGCATTCATTTAGTATCTGGGAAATTGCAGCCAACATGTCCGCTCCATGCTGGTATGGTCTAAAGGAAGAAACATGAAGATACAAGGAAATATTCATGCATATACAAAAGTTCTATTCTATACATATAAAATTCATTAAGTATTGGTTTTGTTTAGGTGACAACTAAAACATACTAAAACTGGAAAAAAAAAGATACAAGGGAGGATATGATAGAGAGTTCTAAAGGCTGAGTGACATAGAGAGTTAAATCAGCAGGCATCAAATTCCAAATAAAAGATCACCAAGTGGTTAAGCTCTGGAAGTTTTTTGTCCAACGCTGTTGTGTATGCTAAAAGATTACATCATTCAAGAAGTGACTGAGAAGGAAAATCCATGTGTGCAATTAAAGACACTCTTCTTTGCTGCTGCTTTGTTGTAGTCTTCTGTAAGTACTCACTACAGTGTTTTGGGGGAGATTTTGGAAGCAAAAGACTTTTGACCCTCCTACATCAGATAAGAACATTTTTCCACATTTTTTGCTGCTGCAATATCATTTGTCTTTCCTTCAATGACTGCATGGGCTGCTTGTTGCTTTCCAGTCTTTTAGTATTCATTCAGTTTTACTGGGCAGTGATGGGGGAGGTGTCAACTTGCTGACTCAGCAGTTCATCATACTGTTTCTGTAAGAACTTGGGGTAAATAAGCACCAGGCTAGGTGATTCATATGCATGAAACACTCAGACTTCCTCTATTTGCTCTCACTTTCCTCCAAATAATTTCTAACTGCGTGAAGATCGTACATACACCTCAACTCTAACTACACCACTTACCTGGCAAAAAGAATATTATTGCTGCATTGAGATTTACCTCTTGCTTTTCAGTTTGTTTTTTTTTTTTAAATATTTCTTGAAGAATCCTTTTTGGCAAAATTAAAGAAGGTTGAAGAGGTAAAGGAAAGGGTATATTCTTTTTTTTTTAGTTAATCTTCCCAGCTGTTAAGTAACTCACCTTCCAGAAAGAAAGTGAAAAGTAGAACCCAAAAGATAGGTGGCAAAGACAAAAGATGGTACTGTGCACATAAAAACAGAAATAAATTGATAACGTGTTTAAAAATAATTGTTACAGGAACTGTAAATTATTATCAAGTACTGATATTCATGGATTGTTAGAGCTGGAAAGGATCAATATATCATCCAGTTAGACACGTATTCTGTGGTCAATATTATATCTGAATAAAGATCAGGAATTTACATGTGACAAAACACACTTTTCAGAAAGGCACTCAATCGTTCTTTGAATACATCAAAAGACACACAGATCATTAGTTGTTTCTTCTAATGTTTCATCACTCTTTTTTATAATTTGGAGGTGGCATGTTTTATGTTTCTACTCTGGATCAGTACAGGATGCATGTTTTGTTTCAGGATGAAGACAGTTTAGTTTTCACATTATTTATATGTGCTTTCTATTAGTTATAATATAAAACCTAAAATTTACTAGCTACTGAGACTACCAATGTCAGTATCTCATACAACTAGGAAAAGATCACCCACAATTAATGTAAGAGTACGTAAAAATAATTATGCATCTTTTCTGAGAAAAAAAGAAATGTTCCCCTTACAAAGACATAAGATGGATAACGCTTGCACTTACCTCTGCCTACATATATCTCTTATACAAGCAGCTTTAGCAATCATGTTTTCCCATTGAGCATCTTTGTCAACAGACAAAGAGGGCATATCGGACATTGCCAAGAACTTCTGCAATTCTGGGTAAATTCGATCCTAGAAAAGATTTAATTTAAAAACTATCATCACACCTTCAAAAGTTAGTGACAAGATTTTCAATTGCTACCACTTTTCCATGACTTCTAAATACCACTTTTATTGCATACCATACTTCTCTTTCTTTCATTACTGGAATCTAATGCTGCATTGATATCTAACTGGCTTGTGCAGACCAAATCTGTATTGTTACTTTATAAACAGAGAAGCAAATAATTGACATGTAACTAAGGTCTTGTTCTTACTGCACATTATGAAAAGCACAAAGCAGTCCTTCAAACATTTTCCCTAATTTCAGTCTGAGACCTGATGAAAAGTAGGTTTCATGAAAGACACACATATTGACATTTTTCACTAAAACAGAATCAATATAAGTACCACTTCCACCATTTATTTTATACTGCCGATACTGAGCTACTGGTGTAAGCAATGTTCCAAAATCAATTTCCTTCCTTGGTTAGATGTAATGAAGTTTTTCAACTACACTTATCCTAGTGACACTACAGGAATTTTCTAACCTGTCTTTCCCATAAGGATGTCATCAGCCGCAAAGTAATTGCTCTAAGCTTTGGTGTGCTCCCCAGCATGTGTATGGCGCGTAGAATCTGAGCTACACAAACCTGAAAGAATTTTTTTGAACAAATGTCACTTATTTTTTATGTCAAAGAACAAAGACAAATCTACAAATCATTATTTTACACCCAAGCACAACAAAGAGATAACTGTCCAACTGTGATGTCAGAAAGAAACTGGAAGTAATTTTCTGAAAAACTTTAGTTTATAACGAGTCCAAGAGCATCTTTTTATTTTGTATATATAATGATGATACAGTGCAGACAATAAAGCATAATGTACATGTCAATCCTTAAAATAAATGTCATATCCCACCCAAAATATTAGAATGTTAAGCTGAAGCTTACAAATCAGTTGTTTTAAGCAATCTATGCATTGCTCAGTCTAAACAGTTTTTTATAAATAAATGAGCTCTTATTGATACAGTTTTTGTTTTACTAAAAATTTTTCATTCTGACCTTGTGTACACCCAGTGTAGGCAACGTATACAATATATCCCTGTAAAGTGCAGGCTCCAAAGGTCTTCCCAATTTAAATATCAGAACTGGAATCAGATTTGGGACCTAATATAAAACAAAAGCAGGAAATAAACTTGGAACTAGGTTGCCAACACAGTATCTTATATAAAACAGTGAACTTCTCAGAACATAGTTAGAAATTGCTAACTTTTTCCATTATTTTTTCTGTTAATAGGAGAGAGGAAAATTCTAAAGTTTGTAATTTCATAAGACTTACAACTTATTTCTTTTTAAGTTATCATCTTAAAAGCACCTTGTTATGTGTGTTCAGCTGTAACCACTGCAATAATCTAATTTCCACAATAAATTAATTTTTACTTGAAATTCCATTCCAGGAACACTGAAAGGAACGTGTAATTGAAAATGGTACATTAACATACATACCAAATCAATGAAGAAACTATTGCAATTCAGTTCTGTCATATCATATCCCACAAATCTCTCATTGAATATTGCATAATTTTCTGCATTCTTTAATATATGGTAAAAAACTTCCACAGACCTGCCCCTGAATTGACAACGAAGGAAAGGAGACTTATTTACCTCAATTCCCCTTTTATTTAGATCATCGGTGGTTTATAAGCACAGTGGTTCAAAAAACTATAAATTGGAAATTCTGTTACAACATTCTCTCAATATGCATTTCATATGAGATGATAAATTTTTTCACTGTACACAGGTCCATTTCATTCCACAGAAACTACAGAGCAAGAATAACGAATAAAAATCCAAGAACTCAGGGATTTTGCATAGTTATCTCTGTAATTATCGGTTTCAAATTACAGACCCCCAAAATTACTGTTTGTTCTAAAAGACATCACTACTTTTACAGCTGAGCAATCCAAATTCATGCTTCTACAAGCTTAAAACCTTTGTTCTGGAATCTATATTTAATACCTAAGGAGTTAACTACTATACATTCTTTTTTCTGGTTTTCCAAATACTTAAATAGAATAAATCCCTTCACAACCCAAAATTTCCCCACATCTTTGACTGACTAGTCTCCCTCCCTCTCTCTGTTTCCCAAGGTTGTTGAGGTAGTCATCATCGCAGCACCTGCCTAGACAAGAGTACTGTAAATCTTTCAAAGCAAAATCAATAAAAGTGGCTGAGAATTTAAGGTAGTATTCATTCCAGCAGATTTTCACACCCAGGAGCACTTTCCATACAAGTTTAACAGTGCCTTGCTTTTCCACCTGTTTATTCCAAACTGAAAGCATCTCCTTAGGTAGCACCCTCGCTTGCCTTTCTTTCACACCTTTGGATTGAAGACAAGTAGGGCAGTTTTCCAGCTTTTGTTGTTTACTGGCTTTGGCTGGGATAGAGTTAATCTTCTTTTCATATTTGCTTGTATGGGGCTGTGTTTTGGATTTGTGAACAAAACAGCATTGATAACACAGGGAAGTTTTAGCTATTGCTCAGTAGTATTCACACAGCATCAAGGCCTGCTCTGCTTCTCACAACACCCCACCAGTGAGTAGACTGGGAGTGTAGAAGAGGTTGGGAGGGGACACAGCCAGGGTAGCTAACCCCAACTGACCAAAGGCATATTTCATACCATATGACATCACACTCAGCAATAAAACTGGGAGAAGAAGGAGGAAGAGAGGACGTTCAGCGTTATGGCATTTGTTTTCCCAAGTATTCGTTATGTGCGATGGAGCCCTGCTTTTCTGCAGATGGCTAAACATCTCCCTGTTGATGGGAAGTGGTGAATGAATTCCTTGTCTTGCTTTGCTTGTGTGTGTGGCTTTTGCTTTACCTATTAAACTGTCAACCCATGAGTTTTCTCACTTTCACCCTTCCAATTCTCTCCCCATTCCCACCGGGAGGGGGAATTGAGCAAGTGGCTGCACGGGGCTCTGTTGCCCTCTAGGGTTAAACCGCAACATGTACAAATGATTTTTTTTTAAGTTACCTTTTACATAAAAACTGAATGGCAGATGAGCAAAATAGAAATAAGGTATCAGAGATACAGATGGGACAGGATCTTCATATGAAGCACAAATATTTCAAAGAGAACGTTCAATTCTCCAATTATACACACATAATGACTAGTTTTCTAAATAAAAGCTGTAGGACCAAGACTTCTTCCATTAGATGAATTAAAATATTTTATACACAGAAAATGTAAATTGCAAATGGGTTAATTAAACATCCTGCCTTACACATATCACAAGACTGTTAGATTTATGCAAGCAGAAGACTGGAAATCTGTATAGATGATTTAATAGGAATCTAGGCTGCAACTGTAGGTTTCAAAAGCCAGTATGTTATAAAATACATCAATCCATTTTCAGGATTTCAGAGATAATTAAGTGGAGATTATTTGTTTACCTAACTGTGTATATCTTATAGCATAAATCAGCATACAAGGTGGTGGTGAGAATAGCTCATCCGAATGTGCAAAGCTGTAAGTGACAAATTTAGCTTTTTATCTCCTTGTCTCAGCAGCCCAAACTGGCCCAAGGCAGTTGTAGACCGAGATAGTGTTGATGTATTTCTCAATATCTGAATTAACTGTATAAAGTCACACTAACTTTCCAACAATTCAAGGTAGGTTATGAGATGGATACCACTCCTCCTGTTTAAGTGGCCATAAACCTGACTTTCACCAGAAGAGTGGTGGTTCTTTGCACGTTGCTCTGAATTTATCATTCTGCTTTTCTTTCATCATAAACTTAACTCATCCAGAAGAAACAGTCCTGTAGAAGAATAAAACACAGTGAGAAGTAAGATACTTCTGAGAGTAACAGACTCCCTGAGAAGCAATGTGCCTCACGGTACTTAGATTCTCTCAGATTTTCTCTCGTATGACAAGACAAGAACGAACCTTTTAAACCCCAAACTCCTTTCAGACCTATCACATGGCTTTACCCAACAGAAGTCAAAGGAGTGAGCCCACATACAACCCACCTCAGAGCACCACCTTGGAACAGGGCTTTAAAGTAACTTGTGGAAGGGTGCTCCTCAGTAATTCTCTGAACTACCTTTTCTTCTCTGTTCAACGTTATTTATTTATTTATATTTTTTTCCTCCTCCCCACCTGACTTATCACAGTTCAACTGCTATTTCAGACACACACAGCAATTGGGATCTTTCTCTCCTATTCGACTCTCTGGGGGCTTCCCTGAATTCATTGCATCAGGTGCCTTAATAAGCACATTTCTGCTAGCTGAAATGCTTGGTCACACTTTCAAGACTATCATAATAATATTTTATAAATCCTGCATCATAAGGAGCATTCCTTGTTATCACAATATTCTTTAAAGTACAAAAGTAGGTGGGGGAAGCAAGTCATTCCAAACTCAAGAGCACATGGCAGAGTTTGATTAACATCAATTCTGGTCCTAGTCAAAATTCATTAATAAGACATCTGTATTAATATTGAAAAACAGAAAAATGAAACCTTCACTCACAATATGAGATTTAATTTGCTGCTCTACCTTTCCTTCCCACTCCCCAACTGTAATGATTTGTTTAGACTAACCTATTCACAATGATGTTGTATTCCCCACTTTACCAATGCCAAAGGGACAACAGCACTGCCTAAGAGAAAATTATGTTCATTAGTACACAGGAAGAAAAAGAAAATTAACTTCCTCATTAAATTAAATAGAACCCAAAAGAAGATTTGATTACAAAAGGCTCAACATCCTGAAAGCAAGAACTTATTTTGGTTAAATCAATACAGGAAGAAAAAAAATATTCCCTTGAAGCTAGGAGACTTGATGGATGGAAGCAGTTTTATTTCTGGACACCTGTTGTTCCTTGAGTTTTAAGAAAAAAAAAAATCACCTGATTCACTATTACCTAAATCTTTGAATGATACAAGGTAAATCACAGGGCAATTAGCAAGCAATGACCATTCCATACTTCGGGGGGGGCGGGGGGGCAATCATTAACACTAACACAGCAACCTGCATCACCATTTTAAGTCCCAAAAATATCAGGGAGGTTATGTATGCTCCTCCACTGAGATACATAAGTTTTCCAAACAACTGTTAACACAATGTGTGAACAGGGTAGAAATGTCTTCTAATAATATTATCCAGAAAGTTCTGTATGCAGAGAACGTTGGAAGGGTCTCAACTCTGAGGATAAGAGGGTTTTGTTAATTCTTTAAACGATACCCATCCCCAACAAATGCTGTCATTGTTTTACCTTGTGGTGGACAAAAAGGCTACATAAAACATCAGTAGAGATGTCAGATATATCATTACAATGCTCACACTTCTTACCTAAGTTCCTTCCTTCCAATCTCTCCCCATAGTGCCTCTTCCTTTTGCCAAAGGCAGAGCCTTATGCTACTGCATTTGGTCTTGAGCTAGTACTCTATTCAATAGGCTACTTCCTGCATTTTTCTCAGTAGTAGCTACATTGGACTATGCATATGACAATCAGACTAAATGACATTCAAAACAAATTGTAATAAATTATAATAAAAATGAATTATAAAATGAAATTATAATAAAAATA